AACTCGGGATCAGCCTGGCAGCAACGTGTTGGACCCGTTCGAACTTTTGTGCCTCGCCTCGGGTAATCGGAAAGTAGGCGGGCCAACAGTACTCTAGCATTGGTCTAATGATGGAAGAGAAGAGGCGAGTGGCACCCTCTTCAGACCATGTGCCGAACCTACGCTTGAGCGCCCAAATCACTCCTGTCGCGATCTGTTGCAAATGAGTCAAGCTACGAAATTGAGAGGCCAGCTCAAACTTGTCACGCACTACAGTTAATATGAGTGCAGGCCAGATGTTTTTCCCTCCGGGTGTCCCGAAGTTGGAACTCCCTTCCAACCCGGCTCATCGTTGCCCCTACATTAACGCTTTTCATAAAAAGGCCTTGATAACACGCTTTCCCATTTGCATTACTTGATATAGTCCGTTTCATTTGGAGGACGAAATAACGCAAACCAAACAGTGTGATCAAAAGCCTTCTATGTAAGTTGGGGGTTAGAAAACCTGTGTCAGTGTTCGTGTGAATAGGTTGAACGTGCCCAAACGGAACTTATGAATTACAGCGGTCCACAGGAACTGCAGAGGAGTGGGCATTGTCATTTCCTTCATTCAACCTTTTGCGGTGCACGTGAACTATAACTGCTCCCCATATTAATTTGTGTGTGCATATTCAATACCCACTTCAATCCAGTTTAATCGGCAGAAGCCTGAACTGCCGATTCATTTACCCTTTGATTCTTTTAATGTCTACTCCAATCATCCTACTGGACTTGCCAAGCACCTGTCATTTTATTCGTTAAAATCATTGTTCATTGTACATTATAACTGCAAATTTCGGATGGCGATCGATCAGACGGTGGTGCATCGCGTCCACCAGTAAATCGCAGTGTTGCAAGAAGTCGAGTTGTCGTTCGGACATCTGTCACGAGGATAGTCCATTTGAAAGAACGTGGTAAGATTAAATTAAACGTGTGCGAGGGTTGATCATACACTTGAATGATGGTTCCGTTGGTTGCGCGCAATAAACTAATCGCCTTCTACTTCGGCTTTTTACCGTCAGGAAGTACACTAAGTTCGACAACATTGTCCACTCTTGTTTCTCGATCGGTGACGAAGTAAAGGCTACTGTGGCGATCAGCAATGTTTGTCGCCCCTACGTGCTAGTCGACCAGCTTCCCTGCTTCTGGAGCTTGAAGAAACAGGGCGGGTGACACGTCTGGCCTGTTGACAAAGTCGCTGGTGGTATCAGCTATAGGAAACGTAGAGGATGGCGGTGGAGCTGGATTTCTATTACCATATCGGCGACTAGGTCCAGAAGCTAAAATGTGCTCTATTCGTTTGTTAAGAGTGGCCATCTGGGCCTTGAGTTTAGCTAACTCGACACAAGGGGTCGATCGGACCTGAGAAATCTGGCCGTAAGATTCCCAAATAGAGTCGGCGGTGTCAGCCAACTGGGGCAATGGCACTTCTGCTCTAGGACAGAGTGCGTTACACATCTCAGGGAGTAACCTTTGCAGCCACATCTCCCGGATGAGAGCGTTGTCTACCGCTGTGTTTTACAAGACACTGTATTTTTCACAGCAACTGAGATGACTTGAGATCGCCGAGTTCACTTTCGCTCAAGCGATTTGTAACTAGTCAGACAGGATTTTTCATTTCAGAACGGCGGTCTTAATCGCTTCATAAATGTTCTGCACATCGGCAGATCCAGAATGTCATCAAAGTGGACGATAACAGATAGTAAAAGCGCCGTTAATTGTAGTGAAGCTTGATCCATTCGGGCTTATCACCATGCAATAGGATTTGAGATCCTAGCTGGACTAATCAGAAGTTAGGGTTCGTCTCACAGAAAGGCGGGATTTAGAGACTAACCATACTAACTTGGGCGTCCGAATCTAAGCCATCGAACTCCATAGCGAAAAGGTATGTGTCAGCGAAAATAAGCCCGACACAAAAGATAAGTTAGCAGCGTAGAAGAAATATGTGGTCTTAAATGAAAAGCAAATTTACTAACCAACCAGTTATAGCGCGTCGGTTGTGTGCTATAAAGCAGGTACACAGATAAACATCCAACCCAAATCAGGCGGAAGAAATCACGAAAATATGCTAAAAGCAGGCTTATCGAAGATTCGTTAAACTAGCCAAGGCTAAAAATAAGGCACTAGTAGAGAAGATGTGAATGAGTGCTGAGTGCGAAAATGACCGGTCACGTTCGAGCGAAAGCGGTGGATGGGTGTGTGGATATATACATATATAAATAAGAATGCTTAACATGTGATGTACAAGCTGCCTAATTTTCCTGGGTACAAATGAAATTATACTTTACTTATATTGTAAGCATCTCAGGGGGTAATCTCCGGGTCGCTTCAAACGTACTAAAGTTGGCAGGAACAAACGAAAAGAAATACCGGATGCATCCCAATGGGGTATCCAGTGTGGCCAATTATAGCTGGTGACTTTTCAGAACGGTCTTGTGATTCAGCTTCAGAAGGTGACTACAAGCAAGGGTCGGAATCCTCAAGATCAATTGTGTCATTATCATATCGGCTGTAGGCTTCCATTTTGTCCGCTACGGACCCCAAGGATTTCCCACTTGATTTGCTAAGGGAGATGAAACAGACTCTTCGCAGATGTGCTCGTCATTTGCAGTGGCATAACAAGTGCGACACCTTCGTGCTTGTGCCATGGCGACCAGGCCTTGATGGCGTATCCTGAATGGGACCTAATGTAGGTATAGGGTAGCAGGTAGAAGGTGCAAGTATCAAACCACCCGACTGCCCTCCGCAAAAAGCCAAGGTGTGGTTGCCTCTTTTGTATACTTTCAGAATATGACTTGAACAGCTAAGATTACCTTGTACTATCAAATTTAGGTTGCTTTCAGTAAAAGCAGGTTACAAAACTTGGTTCCTTAGCCTGTACTCGTAAGTGGATTGACGACGTATGCTCAATGTCTTACATTTGGTGACATTGAAATGAGACAGATTCTGGGTCGCCTATTTGTATACCCCACTAAGGCCATTCTGAAGTGCTAGGTGGTCACCCGTTGTTTTGATGGCCCATCATATCTAGAGGTTATCAAGGAAGCGTAAAATGTTGGGAGTAATCCTTTTCACTAGATGGATTATGTAAATCAAGAAGAAGCCTAAACCAAATACTGAGCTCTGAAGCACAAAGCTCAGAGATGGCTCACAGATGGAGCTGCGAACCCACGCATTTAGATGCTGTTAAAGCAGGAATGTACCTAGTTAACCGAGGATTGCATTACTAATCCCACAGCTCCGAAGCAGCGAAGGAGGATGCAATGATTAGACGGGAAAACGTCTTTGAGAAGCTCCAATAAACAGGGTCATCCCACACCGCTGTTGACGATTTCAAACCAACTGGAGCGTGAAAGCAGCATGTTTGTGGTGTAAGACGAGTTCCGGTAGAATCCATGTTGTTCTCGTAGTGTGACGTTGCATCGGTCCTTGAAAGCTGCAGCCATAGTATTACCCGTGATCTTGGACAGGGCCGGAAGTAACTTTTTCGAGCTATGGTTAGTCGGATTTCGGCCATGCTTCCACGTTTTTGGAACGCCTATATTAGCAAGATATCATTAGAAGAACTGAGACGGAAATTCCACTAAGTTCATTACGGCTAATACGGAGTTTTGCAACGGATATCACCAACACAAGAAGAGGTATGCTCGCGCAAGGAAATTAGCTAATTCAGTACGTCCCTGCCCGTAAACGGGATTTGGCCAGTTACTAGGGGTAGTATAGCCTACGTGAAGAACACTGGTTAGGAAATTGTGCTTTGAAAGCTTGAGATTTCTGATAAAGAGCCAGAGGGTCACACGCAAAAACCTTGAGTCGCTCATGTGCCCAGCCGTTGTGTGGGCAGCAATGATAAACAGGGGCAAGCTGACTTGACGTGTTGCATCAAGAGGTAGAGATAGTCTTTCTTTAAGTTGGCTGGCTAGACGAACAACCTCCTCGTGGTGCAAGTTGAGTGGTTCGGGTTTACCCCGTTCTATCAAACAGTTCGACGGCAGTGTTCCAGGACGTGGTGGCTTTCCGCATGACAATCATCCACCTAATAAAAGCCACAAATGTCTGTTTAACAACAACGTGACGTGGCAGTTGTGACTCGCCACCAACTAAAGTCACCCCTTTGCTTATATGGAAAACCGCTTCAAGTCCCCAGATAACAAGCATTCCTTTAGTACTGGTGACACGTTCAAACACGAGCAAAAGCGTAGGAAAGTATTTACAAATCCCACAAACACCCCTATATAATCATGGTTGGCGGCAACCGGTTCCGGATTTGCCTGTCACTACGGACAGCCACAGAAAGCCTGCGCCTGCAGAGGGACCATGGGTGTCTTGCGCTGCACCACCCACAGCTCCATACATACAGTGTAAACCCGAAGGAATAAAACCGTTAGGAATGTGGATGGGAGTGACGCTACATCAACGGAGCCGGCTCACACTCCTTCACAGGTAAACACAAGCACGCTGTATTTGGGGAATCAAGCGCACACAAGGCAGTGGCTGGACCGCAGTCCGTTCCACACTGAGTGCACGGAAACACTGTTCAAGCGTAGCACGGCCATAAGGACGGTACACCCCGTCCCCTCCAGCAACGACTAGCTGTCTCCTAGAGCCAGTATGGACGAGGTAGTGGGTAATAGACAGGTAGGCACCTTGTCAACATACACATCAAGCGCAGCCACACCGGGGATTTCAAGTAACAGCTAATCACTTGAGAGATAGATAGCAAATAAAATAACTTGAGTAACGCATAAGGAAACGGTGACATAAATCTTAAATTAATGAGCATATGAAATAAGTTGTTTACAAGCGAATCCGAGATAAGTTCACGAGGTCGAAAAGTATATTTTACGGAAATGCCACAAACACGAAAATGTTATCGAAATTAACTACAATTGGCTTAAACGACGTGTGCAAGTTTATAGAAGAGCGTAGAGGTATGCATTTATATGAGAAAGAAAAGCATTAGGGCAAGAATGAAAACCCACCACCTGAAATAAATAGACTTAGCATGCAAGCTCGAGGTTAGTAAGTCGAATGCATCGTACCTACAAACGCTGCGCCGGTTCTGCCTACGTTCTCTGCAGGACCCGTCGTCGCTTCGGTAGTGGTCCCGAGTGGCCTCGCTCATAGCTCACTAGGCATGCGTTACTCAGGCACTCGCGACCGCATGTGCTAGAGCACCATGCGCTTGATGTCGATGGAGTACAATTCATCGGCGCTTGCCGCTTCCGCACTTGCCTCTTCCGCACTTGCCGCTTCTTCTCTGCATGCATGAGGTCATACTTCCTCACTTCGGCAACGGCCTTCGTGATTAGATCGCGCCATGCACGCCGATCAACCGCCTTCGATTCCCATGACCTGCAATCAAGATTAGAAGGTGAGAGGCTCACTTTGATCATGTCCTTGTAAAGTAGCTTTGGTTTCCCCACATGCCGCTTCCCAATACTCAGCTGACCATATAGGAGTTTTCCGGTATCCACCTTGAATCCATACGGCTCACATGACTGAGCCACCTCAGGTGTCAGTCAAAGTATGCAGTCCACTGCATACATCCCACTTTATAGCAGCACTTCTGTGTCAGCAACTCTGTCGCCCGAACTGCATAATCATGCATGCACACATACATACATTCGTATATCAATAAAGGTGACAATCATTTTATTCTATTGTACATTAATGGGTCACATTTTTAGCCTTACCATAATCACGCTTGTACGGGTGTGCGTCGCGTATTGGAGAATAAACATTTTATTTATTTGTTTATTTATAATAGAAGGGAGTCCGTGGTTTTATTTAATGCAGGAGCAACATACGAACAAAATTCTGTGTTTTAATTGCCTTGGCTGTTTCCTTCCCAGGTTTGCCAAGCTATCATTAGGCTACGGGAAGCTGCAGATTAACAGATCAGATTCCCACTGGGTTTTACGCAAAATGTTTGGTCACCCCACTAATCAGCGCTGTACTTAACTGTCACAGAAATATGAAATGCTGGTGGCAACGATTGAGTAAATGGTAAATGTGAACATCACCTCTTTAGAAGAAAGAATGAAGTAGAGTAGGCCCCAGTCCTCCTAGATATGCTTTGCTTCAGACTTGGTGAAGAAGGCGAAGAAGGCTGTCATGAAGCGTTATTTTGGCTTCGAACGTCGGTCAGCCTGTTATTACCTCAATGGTTCAGATACGCCAGAAACAACCAGTTCTAGTTAGATTGGAAAAATTACCACTAGGGCCTCATTTACTTCGCAAACTATTCCGAATTTTCTTGAGGATGTTAGTAACAGTGGTGGCTGGAAGCTGTCTGCAGCCAAGGTTTCATTGGAGATTAACATCTGTTACTATTACCGAATAAAAAGCAAATAAAGATACAGACCTTAAGTGCACAGCAACCAATGATTTTACTTAGACCTCCGGAGCAGTCGACCACAGCTCAAACTACGGAAATGATCATCTAGATATCACATAGTGTACCGTAAGTAATCCAACCGATGCTCCCGAATGGATGTTAAATTTCTTAAGAGGAACGCAAGTAGACGGTTTGAGCCAGTGGAAGTTTTATATATGAAAACTTAAGTGTTGTATCCGAGCCAGTTAATCTTATGCTGCTAATCGGTCACCCTAACTCAAGGCAATGCAGTGAACCGACGCTTCACAGAGTTGTACTGAACTCCGCTGATGGAGTAGACGCGGTTCTGCCATTAGCAGATCGTAGTCAGAGATGCTCCTGTCAATTGCATATCTCAACTGATATTTCACGGAGAAAGCGGAAACAGGCTATGCAAGACCTGGAGGACTCACGGAGGAAATACTTATCCTGGACCTATTTTATTCACAGTGCCTTCAAGGTTGGAGGACATAAGCGGGAAACGGCCACCCACAGTCAGGCACAAAATCCCGTCATAAGAAAAAGCAAGGGCGTAAGGAATTTCGAGGATATCTTAAGCGATGTAGGATGTCGGAAGGTAATTTTGAAGGTGATGCTTCAGTCCATACAGAGGTCAAAAGTGTATTAAAGCGCTGATATGAGCATCGCTGCAGACTGACTTCCGAGCTCGGACTCAAAGCAACGCCCTATAAACAAATACACCACACGCGCAATTTAATCTAATAATGCCACTTTTCAGGTTAGAATAAAATTGTTATCATAGAACCGATTCTGGTGATCCCATCCTAAACTCAAGCACAAAGAGAAGATCTGAGGGCAACTTAAGGAACTTCTGGACCTGACGCGGCTTAATTCATCTCTGCTTCACCAAGAAAACGAGTACTCCTTGACCTTTTACCGATCAACGTGACATCACACCCAAAATACACGTCACCGGACCGGCTACTGAGAGCAAAAGAGTTACATTCTCATGCGCTATCACACTAGGTCTCATCAACAAGCCTGCCGAACAGCGACTATTTCAAGAATCATATAATTGGAACCTTAGCTTTCTAACAAACTTGGTTGCACTCAGAAATAACCGACGCCGAAGTCACGATAGCTTGGATGTACCTTCTTCGAAACGGTCTCTCTAGCACGGGCGGTGAAGTACCAGTATACTACCGCTGTGACCTGCAATGCAAAACTGATAATCATAGACTCGCTGTGGTGCCATCTGCAATGGAGACGCAACGACACTTGCCTCGGGGCGATAGATTATTGTCTCTCTAAATCCACCTCAGAGATGGACCGCCATCAGGCAGTTCTTAGAGTTAATCCTGTGACGACGATACAGCCATGTTTTCATCTTAGGTGAATCCAATGCTAACAACCTGGAAGTTCTGGCAATTCGAGCGATCAATTCAAGGCCTAACTGCAAGACTTTATTACTAGCGTTCCGCTCTTCACATATCCATTCTTTCATCAAATCAGGAGGGACAAACAAACCACCAGTGCTTGCTTTAGTGTTCACAAACGAAGAGCTCGTGATCGGTAAGCCTAAAATAGAGAGCCGTCTGGGGTAAAGAGAGATCATGTTACACTACTGTGTAACTTTGTGTGCTATGTAGTGTATTGGTAAGGACACATTGCTTTGTTTCATAGTCATATTACTACATACCAATAGAAAGCAGTGAAGAAGTTACCTGAAAGTTTTCGGATTACTGTTCCACTAATAATACGTGGACAGATTTGTCTGGAAATCTCAGGGACCTTATCATTTATGCTTCGGAAATCAGGCATCTTTGTTCTGCAACAGCATCATCATTCAATCGGTACAGAACTCAAAAACACTTGGCTAATTGAGACAACGTGGAGTGCGTCCAGAGCTGACAACGGCAACAACTCTGGTACAGGTATAAACTGCACCATAATTAAGTGTGAGGACAAATTGGTACACTAACCATGTCTAGTGGAATGCTTTGGTGCCAATAACAAGCTAATGTGCAAATTTGTGAACAACCGCGTGGCGTTCCGCTACTTATGTCAACGTAAAGATCTGCCCAATGCGCCGAGGATGCAACTAACGCCATATAGCGACAACGTACCACTATTACTATATCGCACCATTAGCTCATTTTACCTACAGCAATACTTATAGACTCCACCTTTACTTCAGAGACTGTTTTAAAGAAATGACTATTTTTGCAACACCATAATAATCCCAGATTTCAAAACATCCATCGGAAAGCACTAGAAATCGTCGCTGCGAGACTAATCAAGCCATTATCGCCATGTTGTCGATGATTGAACGAACAGCGAGTCACTACCGTGTGGAAGTTGAGCATTTTTGCCTCAAAATTTAAGTAGGGTGGTCGTTCAGAATCAATAAACTATCACCCATTGATCCTCTTTCCAGTGTTCTCAAAGAAAATGGAAACTATCATTGATGACCTCCAATCGATTAGTTAGAAATATCCAACTCCGTAGCACCAAAACAACAGGGATTCCGACAAAAACGTTCATGTCCAACCAACGTACCCATTGCGTGTGGTAGGTGTACTGAAACGGCCGAACATGGACTGGAACCGAGGTCTTTTAATTTGTCTTGTAACTACCATGTACAGCCCGGTTTACCTATCATTCTAACTAAGTTGCAAATCTACAAAACTGGAAAACTTCTCTTTCAATGGATCAGAAAGTTTCTCCTTCAGCGGCGGATGTAGGTGTCGGTTTAGAGCTTATTAGCTGATCCAACTGAGGTAGCATGCACTGTTCCGCGAGGATCTGTGTTAAGGACAGCGCTATTCCTTGCCTTCATTGACGACCTAGCGAACGTCACGGAATCCACTTTCTCGCTTTGTGCCGATGATATCAGGTTACTTCTGACTGCCGGTAAGCAGACAAATTGTGATACATGATGATGGTGCTTCGAATAATCAAAGACAAGGTTGCTCTGATTCAACCTTATTAAACGCAAAGTAGTTCAGCCGGATCATCAGCCAAATATTAGATAAAAGCTTGGAGGCCACATTTTGTAGACCACCTCGAAGCAACGCGATTAAGGCGTAGTGATTTAGGATGACTTTAGCCATTCGAAACGAGCCGTGGAAGTGTCTGAAACTGTTAACTGATTTAGTGACCCTTTTGGATTAGTTGATCTTACTATCTTCTCACAACTACTCAACGTGTACGCCAGGCTGTAGGTGGAATTCGCGACGCCGCCTAAAGCGCGATCCTGTTGCACTGGAGACCCGCAGCAAAGGGCAACAAAGAGGTGAAGGGATTTCTCCATTTGTTATGTCCACTACAACTGAAAGATCTAGGGGTGTGCAGCGGAGATTATCGCCGTCTACTGGCTGACCTCATTTGGACTTATGAGGTTTTGATAAACAGTCGTATTTCTACTTATCTCCTGAAGCGTAGTCAATAAACTAAAGCGACACCAAGTGATGCTGTCCATAAAACACAGCCGGTTGGAAGATTGCTGGAATATTTCACCCTCCGAATTTGTCAGCCGTATTAGCGGGGTTCCGAGTTATGTCCCTTCTACTCCCACACAAGCAATCGTCAAACGGTAAATCGACGTTGCATTACACCCACTGCATCATATGACATGACTTCTGTGTTACGACAAAATACAAAAAAGCATCTTGCTCACCAGCCTTCTCTCTCAATGAAGCGGGGTAGCGGGATTCAAAAGTGTGTGGATCTGAATAGCATTGTGAGTTCATAGATGCGCAGTTTACCTTGCATAGAAATAAGTTTCCATTTACTTATGTATTTCACAAAGACCATCCTACGATACTTGTCAAGACTTGGCTTTTAGACCTGTTTTATCATTCTTCCATTGTACAGAGGACAAATCTTGAGCGAAGCAAGGTAATCCATCAAAGGATAACAATATGTCTCATTAAACTAGCTATCTAGCTTAATCTTCTAAACAAACGAGGACTGAATGGAGACAACTTGAATGAAGTCGTTGAACTCACTTACAAGCAACTGAATGTCTCATGATAGTACGTCAACTTTCATGAGAATAGTAGGTCGACCAAACACAGACTCAAATTACTCAGCAAAATACTGCTGTTACCAGCCGCAGTGATTACGAGGAGTCTGGTAGGAAGACACAGTCAAATTAAGGACGAGGGAATAATCTCCTCGTGGTGTCAGTTGGATTGTTCGGGGTTACATCTTTCCAGCAAATAGTTTGGGGGCAGTGTTCTAGGACGTGGAGGGTTTTCGCATGGCAAGCGTCCTCCCTACAAAAAGCCACAAATGACTGTTTAACAGGACTGCGACGTGGCGGTTGTGACTTGCCACCAACTAAATTCACTGAACCTGCTTACCTGAACAATCTTATCGAGTGCTCAGACGTCAAGGGTTCCTTTAGACAATGGCGCCGCAATCAAACGCAGTCAAACTAACAGCGACACATTTACAAGCACAAGTAACGCACGCACATACGTACCTGCAAACATTTACGGATCCAAATATATGAAAATCCTGTTGTACTATTGCAGATTACTTGAGCAATGTTTGTGCTACTACTATGATCATGTCTTTAAGGGTGTGCCTCGCGTAGTCGAGAATAACAAATTTAGTTATCTATTTATAAAGGTCAATTTCTATCTATCATGTCACAATGCCAATGCGCTAATCGGTGCTACATATTGAATGGATGTTAGATTCGACCTGACCTCAAATGCGACGCCAACCAAAAAGCGCAGGAATTGTCAAGTGTACCTCAATCACATCATTCGTGTCGATGCGGAGTTAATAAGCGAAAACTTACCACACATTATGGCTGTTGCCGAGGTACCAGAATCCGTAGTCATTCGATCTGCACTGTGTGTAGTGACGAGCGCAACGGATGGCCAATCATCCCATGCGAGTTGGACCTCGCCTGCTGCCAAACCAAGGTTTTGCGCCTTTGTATATCTAGCTCCTGTGAGCGTGCTTATACCCATACCGTCACCAATGAACAAAATTACATTTTTCGGCCTTTGCCCTGACTTCAACTCATGATGGAAATCATGCTTAAATGCTTCAAGTTTACGATCGGCATTTCGCTTTGAAATACCAGGGTCGGAACTTTCAGGATAAACGAGCGCTTCATACTGAATGCAGTGTACCGATAGTTGCCAGACCCAAAGTTTGCTATTCAACGACAGCAGCAGCAGCAGCAGCAGCAGCAGCAGGGAAACAGCTTGCGCCATCCGGTTTGGATGCTGAATATGAAGTTGATGCAATAGTGTTACGGTCTCTTCGCTTGATCCTTACCTGCTGAGCGACGTTATGCCTAACTAGTCATATTATTATACTTCAATCAAACCAATCGGTGAGCGCCTGCAGACATGTACGCATACCATGGTGAAAACTTATGACGCACGTAACGTGTAAGAGAACTCCCCCCCTGAGCCTGGAAGACTGAAGTGTGTCTGTGGCAGACAACGCTGATTTTGATTTGGCATGAGATTGTTGGTCACCGTAGTTATTAGTGGCATTTTCATCAAAGCCCTAAGGTAACACTGGTTTTCATCAAGTATGTGAGGCAACGCGGAGCTAAAAAGATATCATTAGTTATAAGGGGTTATTATCCATCCTATGACTATCACAGGCATTTAGGTACACAAATAACTGTGTAGAATCAGCTCATCAGATCTGTATGTCACTTTTAACTTTGGTCGTATATGCTTAAATGACTCGGCGACCCGGAGCCTTCTGACGAGATACAGGCGACTACAGCCGAGTTGTCCAGCTCAGAGTGAAATCAGCAACCTAGAATCCAACTAGAGTTATCAGTTGTCTGAGATTTAACTTGTTCTGCTGTTGATGTGGTGATGGTACTAAGCTTGAAGAGCCATACACAGGTGTTAGGAGACTTTGTAGTAGTACCGCACTCAGTAGCTGGAATAAGCTTGAGGCCGGTCAAGAATACATAACTTCGGTAGGTTTCTAGTGCGAATCGGTTTGTTATGGACTGTTATTACAGCTAGATTTCGCGCTTGAAGCAAGAGCTTTTTTCAGGTCGAAAATAAAAGGCAAGAAAGACTCGCATGACAACAAGCTATGACATCTGTTCGCAGTTTTTAACATACGAGTTGATTCAAACAGCCGGAGTCATTCGTGCAGGTCTTCGGTGGGGTATGGGTTCCAGGCACATACACGGCCAATGTTACGTGTAAAAACCAGACAATTTATCGAGTTCTAAGTCGACTAGATTCTTTGTTAACCATTCACAAGTACGAGCCATGTTTCTGAGTCGATCTTACTCCTCCGAAACACCAACTAGTTGCAACATCATGACAAAAGTAAGCAATTCAAATTTATCGTACGACGGATTCATTAACGGAAACCAAGCAACGAAGGTCCTGAATGCCCAAACCTGACGAAACAGATTTGAAACCGAAACGTGTCCGATGTATAGCCGCGCACGCCCGCCGACGGTGCATATTAAGGGAAGATGACAGCGATCTAACAAAGAACAGAACCATTATAATTTAAGACAAGTAATTCATGGTCTAGGACATGAAAATGACAAGAGTAATGAAGACGATTCAATCGTTATCACCTGACAATAAGAATCAAACATCTTTAGTAAGAGAAAACCAGTATAGCAGCACTTTCCATGCCGCACCATTGTACGCCTGAATAGAATCCCACATGTTCTCTTTAAACTCTAACCGTCCAATCAACCCCAGGTGTTTTTGACGCACGCGTCCATGCTACTGCAGGTGCGCTCGCGTCACACTTGGCACTCCTCCCATTGGCGTGGCTGCGTGTGAAGTGCAGACGGGATGCCAAACTGCGCTGCCTGACGGCCAGTGTAGAGCTTAGACGCAGTTGACCACATAGTTCAAAGCACATGGGAAGTTTAAGCGGCTACGAGTGTGGACCGACAATCAAACTACCAATTGGAGCGATCGCTAGTATTGGTTCTCCAGTCTTTTCCTTGTCGTGCTATCGTTCAGCAGCATGGCGATGGGAACAGTCGTCCCCTACTGATCCATTGCGGCAACTCGTATTGCACAGCGCATGAGTTGTGGCGAAATTAGCACCAGGTGCATGCGCGGTTGGCCTAACTTGGACGTCATAGGCACGCACTCAGCCTACTGTTCGCTACGGGTAGGCAAGAGAACACACGGACTAGGCTGAATTAGCAATGTCTGCTGCGGACACAACTCCCATTAACGTAGACCAGGGGTGTCCAAACTTGTTGCAAGGAGGGCCGCATTTTGTAAAGTGGAAATATGCAGGGCCATGTTCAGTTTTACAATAAGATAAGAACAAAAAATCTAATGTACGAACAATTCCAGGCGGGAATTTATTAGTTCATGATGAGGCTGCGGGCCAGTTGAAATGTTAACGCGGGTCCCATTTGACCCGTGGGCCGGACTTTGAACATCCATGACGTAGACAGACCAGCCTATAGCTGTGCAATGGATGTAGGATGGTCGTGTAACAATTTCTCACGTTACCGTCTCATTCTCTTAGGCAAAGCTCTTACCATTCTGTCAGCTTCGCAATACTAGTGGCACCCGTTGCCAAAGCACCAATTTAGTTGTTATATCCTTGGATGGTACATTTATTTACAGAAAATCAGTTTAATGGTTATAAAGATCAACGAAGTGAATGTTCAAAGTGCCCGCCAGCGTTTTGCATAGAGTGCAATATTCACCTGATGGTGTTGGTTAGCACTTTTTCTAAAGTCTCCACTGTGATCCCGCGACATGTGTACAAAAGGCTCCGTTCCAGTTCCTCAAGGGATTTTGGCTTACTTTTGTTAACACCTTTAGAGTATAACCATAGGAATAAATCCAACAGGTTCAAAGCTGTTGACCGAGCAGGACAATCCACTGGTCATCCCCGAACGATCTATCGACAAATGAACTTCTCTTTTAGATAATCACGAGCCGTCTGTGCATAGTTTACAGGTGCGCCATCTTGTTTTGTACCAATAACTTTGCGACATCCAGTTGCATAATGGCACAATTTTGCAACAATTCCTTGTACGAAGATGCCAGGAAAAGTAAGGCATTAGTACTGCGAAACAATAACCTACCTTTCACATTACTTGAAAAGTAACATGGTATCACGAGTTTTGGGCAACGTGTAACCCACGCCGATACTGCGCTTCACGTTTGCAACATGGCGCAATGCTCATGGTATGGGCTAGGTTACGTAGTCAAAAAAAGTGAGACCATGTTTCTTTTCTAGTAGTGCGACAAGTAGGTCATTGTTTTGCTATAGATTGGTCTGTCTACGTCATGGATATTCAAAGTCCGGCCCACGGGTCAAATGGGACCCGCGTTAACATTTCAACTGGCCCGCAGCCTCATCATGAACTAATAAATTCCCGCCTGGAATTGTTCGTACATTAGATTTTTTGTTCTTATCTTATTGTAAAACTGAACATGACCCTGCATATTTCCACTTTACAAAATGCGGCCCTCCTTGCAACAAGTTTGGACACCCCTGGTCTACGTTAATGGGAGTTGTGTCCGCAGCAGACATTGCTAATTCAGCCTAGTCCGTGTGTTCTCTTGCCTACCCGTAGCGAACAGTAGGCTGAGTGCGTGCCTATGACGTCCAAGTTAGGCCAACCGCGCATGCACCTGGTGCTAATTTCGCCACAACTCATGCGCTGTGCAATACGAGTTGCCGCAATGGATCAGTAGGGGACGACTGTTCCCATCGCCATGCTGCTGAACGATAGCACGACAAGGAAAAGACTGGAGAACCAATCCTAGCGATCGCTCCAATTGGTAGTTTGATTGTCGGTCCACACTCTTAGCCGCTTAAACTTCCCATGTGCTTTGAACTATGTGGTCAACTGCGTCTAAGCCCTACACTGGCCGTCAGGCAGCGCAGTTTGGGATCCCGTCTGCACTTCACACGCAGCCACACCAAAGAGAGGAGTGACAAGTGTGACGCGAGCGCACCTGGAGTAGCGTGGACGCTTACGTCAAAAACACGAGTGGTCGATTGGACGGTTAGAGTTTAAAGAGATCGTGGTGGATTCCATTCAGGCGTACAATGGTGCGGCATGGAAAGTGCTGCTAGACTGGTTTTCTCGGACTAATGGTAGATTACAGAAACTTTTGTTTGGTTGCTCATGCCCAGAGCTGGCGGGATACTTGCAGCACTAGTGTACCGATGGTTTTATTTTTAGGCGCCCCTGGCTTATTACAGCGACGGTCACTGTTATGGCGTTTCAGAGAACTAAGCGTGGGGTTTACGATTAACATTTGCACGGGATTTTTCGGCTCACTGGTATCTGTCCGGCTACTGGTGGCTACCGTTATCCAAAACTTTGGACTAAGCACGGAAATGTGGTGTACAGTTATCCTGTGAATTAACTAAAATCCTACGCCGTTACGACGCGTGCTAGTTAAGGAAGGATTTTTGGGTACCGCGCGTTGGAGTGGCCTGGTGTGCCCGATCGCGGCGCCGTGTGTATTTCTACCGGGTCGGGAAAACAAATGCAACATATGTTGCAAAAAATTCTGCAGCAAACGCCTAGGTGCACGAGAAACTTATGATTTTACGGATTGTTTACAGTTAGACAGACGGCGGGAATACCCAGATTGCTACGCCACTACATGTACGTACGGTCCCAAGGTGGTACAAATGTTCAGGCTAAACACTTTTGGTTTGCTAATGTCTTCAGAGACAATTGCGTCAAAGCCGTCATGCTAGACCAAGTTGTCACCTGGAAGTTTACGGAGAGAGATGGCCCTATAGACAAGGCACTTCTTGTCCCCCATCCTCAAGTATTTGTAGTTCGTCTGCTGAGAAAACTGTCAAACTATGTGAAACAAATGGCTTGAACTCTGGTGTGGTTGTGGTATTTCCGTGAGCCTTCCAAATTAGTCTACTCAAGTGCTATCGCGAAAGCTGTTACTCAACAATTCGTCTTGTCCACATACAAGAGAGCTGCTTGGATAGTACAGTAGGTTATTGTGGGCAGGAAGTTTGCGTGCCCCCTGGAATATCCGATGTAGCAGGCGTAAGGGTGAACTACGGATGTATACCTTTTGGTGCCTACCTGGCTTTATATTGACAGGTAGTCCATATTGTGCTCGTAGTTCGTAGGCCTTAAGTTGCTTACAAGTTGCTTACTTTCTTCATTAAATCTTTTGGAGTGACTGACAGTCTCATGTGTACTATTGTACATTAGTCCTTTGAACTGTACCAAAAAGCATGTTGCACATTTATCTTCATCTGAATTGAACTCCCCTGAGATATGCATATAAATGTATCATGGCCGCACCAGTCATCTCCCTGCA